GCTGTTTTTAGTATTACATTGTAATATTACATTAAGTGTCTGAATTTTGTCATTTTGTTTAAAACTTAATTATCAGCTTTTTCCTTTTCGTGCTTGTTTTTAAGCTTTGTTGGGGTGAGCCTAGAGTATTTTTTTTCCCCCTAGAGTAGTCTTTATGCCAGGTTTAGCTTTACAACTGAGGCATGATATTTCTGGTGTCTCTACTGAATGCCCTGGAGATCATTTGGGTGTCACCACCATGGGTCACCAGAACTCAAATGCCTTCCAGTTTTGTGTGAGCTCTGGATATTTTCAACTTACAGTTCCCAGCAGTTCTTTTTCACTGCTTCTTGGCTGGTTCAGTTGTTTCTTTGCCTGGCCTGTGGAGTATTAATGCATATGCATTTTAGTTATCAGCCAAAGATGCAAAGCAACTCATGCAGATTTTGCTCCAGTAATCTATTGTTCAGTGTCTGTTCCTAGAGTTGTTTTATATATTTTGTCCAGTTTTCTAGTTTTTNAGGTTCCTGTGTGTGAATCACACTATCTTATACAGTTCTTTAAAAATCTATGATTTTATGTTTTTATAATGTTAATTAAAATTTTGTTCATAGGATTTGAAGTTGTATAACATCTGAACAAAAACTCTTGTTGTGGTTTTATTTAGGTGCCGTTTTATATTCTGAGAGATACCAGAATTGAGTAATAGTACTTTGTTATTTCCAAATAACAGACTATTACAGCAGTCTAAGTCACAAAACTTATTTCTTACATAAAAAAATTAACCCTTGGCAGCAATTTTCTTTGTACCTCGTTCCCAAGTAAAATGTGATTGTTGCATATTTCCAAACTGATGAATTGAATTTCTCTAGCTATTTGCCCCTGGTTTCTTTTCTGTTTACAATTCCTGTGGAAATTTGGAGCATTATCACAAGATGTTCTTTATCAGTCTGATTGTGGGGTACAAGACTTATAATAAATTTTCTCTCTGTAGCTTTGCAAAAAGAGTGTTCTCTATAAACCTTAGCTCATGTCTAAATTACAGCCTAGTGCTGATTTACAACACTATATGGTACCTTTGTGACTTGGTACCTTATGTGCCTGTTGCAGCTGCTTTGATTAGCTGACTGCTTGCTGAAGTTACCTTCTCTTTAATATAACAGCATAAGAAACTTAGCAACTTCCTGAAAAACAGCTGTGCAAAATAATCACTAGCTGTAGGCATGGAAAGAATTTGACAGCCTTTCCAGAATAACGTTAGGTACCTTTGTGAGACACTATGCTAGGTTCTTTACAGGCATTCTCTCATTTAGTTCTCCTAACTAGTCTTTGAGCTAGACATTATTATCCTGCTCTGCAGATAAGAAACTGGATCGAGGCAGCTGGGCATGGGCTTCACTCTAATAAATTCACAGCTGGCAACCAAGAAATGGGCCCTAAACACTATCCAACAAACTTAGTTTCTCAGATCAAGTCTCCACAATGCCTTTTTCAAAACTTCATTTGGAGCCGTAACCTTCCCTTATCAGTCAGCTATCAAAACTAAATCTGTAAGCATTCTGTATTACTATATCATTTGTATGCATCCCGTGTTACTATCTGTATTTTTGTGCATCCTATATTCTCCTGATACAATAGAGAAGCTG